TCCGGAGGATATCACAAGATATGAACAAGTGTTCATATCTTCAGGAACAGGAACAAGTGGTCAGTGTCAAGGTGATACAGATATAAGTATTCCACAACAGTAAATATTCTGTTTCTCTTTTTTTATTTCCTATGTTCTTTATCTTTATTCATCGTTATTCTGACTTTTTCTTTCACAGCGTGTCATAACTTGCAGACTCTGTGTCTCATGATGAGCAATGATCCCTTCTAATCAGTCAGTCTGTGTGCTTGTCTGGTGTCTTCACAGCCTGTCCTGTAGGATACTTCAAGTCAGTGTCCGGCTCTGTTCCCTGCTCCGTGTGTCCCCCCAACAGCAGAACCAGCCAGGAGGGCTCCAGTGTGTGTGAATGTCGCAGCAGCTTTTATCGAGCGGCCGGTGATGCCAACTCCTCTGCCTGCACAAGTGAGCTTTGTTGTGTGTTTGTTTGTTTATGCCCGGCTCTCGGGGAGGCGTACTGTATGTGCCTCAGTGGAGTCATTTGTCATTGACTCAGACCGTGAGAATGAAGATACACAGTCACTGAGCAAAATTCATTTTCTTCTATGGAAATTTTAACCTTTAAATTGCACCAAGAGAAAACAAACTTGCTAAGTATTAAGGCTCTGGTCTCGCTTCACTGAAAATGCATCACCATTTAGTTTTTTATGAAGATCTTTCCATTCGTTTTAACTGAAATGGCGTCAGCAGCCTATATCTCAATCCTTTTAGCAGATGCTACATTATATAAATGTCCAGTTTTTAGACTCTACTTGTGAAACTCATCCCGTCTCTCTGGCTCTCTTCAGCTCCTCCGTCTGCTCCCGTGTCTCTGACCTGGGAGTACGAAAGTGGCGAGGGCGGGGTGTCCCTGAGGTGGCGTCCTCCGGTGGACATGGGGGGTCGAGCTGAAGTCTGGTACGGGGTGGTGTGTCGCATCTGCCCCTCGCCCACCTTCAGCAACCCGGCGGCGTGCTCCTGGTGTGGAGAGGGGGTCACTTTCAGCCCCTCAAAAACCAACCTCAGACAAACCAAAGTGACCCTCAACAACCTGCTGACCCGGGTCACTTATCTCATACAGGTGCTTTGCAAAAACAAAACATCCAGAACAGAGATGGGCAACTTTAAATGGAAGGGGCCACGATTTTTTGTTGACACTATCAGAGGGCCACTTAGTGCTGCACACTGACTCACCCAAATGTAATAAAACTGGCATTTTAAAAATGTTTATATATATATGTGTGTGTGTGTGTGTGTGCGTGTGTGTGTGTGTGTGTGTGTGTGTGTGTGTGTGTGT